TCTCTGTGACATTATCCACTATCTTTATTACTATAGTTGTATGATCAATCATGCTATCTACCAGTGTTTATTTCCCCATATAATTTTTAGAATGAGTTTATCACATTCCACAAAGGCAAGACAAAGAAAAGCAAAACAAAGAGTGATGTTGGAATTTTAACTGGTACTGTATTAAATTTATATAATCTCATTAAGGCAATTTTCATCCTTAGTGATATTTATTTTTCTTTCATTGTATCATGAACATATGTATAGATCTTTACTTAGATCTTCCTTAGTATCTTTCAATAAAGTTTTTAAATTTTTTTTCTTTCTTTTTTAAAATTATTTATTTATTTGACAGAGAGAGACAGATCACAAGTAGGCAGAGAAGCAGGCAGAGGGGGAGGAGGAAGCAGGCTCCCCGCTGAACAGAGAACCCAATGAGGTGCTTGAACCCAGGACCCTGAAATCATGACCTGAGCCGAAGGTAGAGGCTTATCCCACTGAGACACCCAGATGCCCCTAAAGTTTTTCTTTCAATAAAGTTTTAAAATTTTATACATAAAAATCTTATTCATTTAAAAATATCTTATTCATTTAAAAATCATATTCAATTAAAATATTTAAAAATATCTTATTCATTAAAATATTATATAGCTTATGTATTTTGCTCTTTTTAAAAACAGCATTCTTAAATCTTTTTATCTTGTTATTTTAAAGAAAGTATAAAAATATTGATCTGACAATTTACCATACTCTTATTTGTAATTTTCTACAAGAAATATTTTTATGCATAGATTCTTTTCTTGTCATCCCATATTGTTAGCAAGATGCCACAAAAAGTTGGTCAGATCAGAGGGCTGAAAGCTATCAGCAAGAGGGAGGATGGGGAAGGGACAAAAGCAGGGAGAAAACCCAGCTAGGTGTTTCACCTGATAGCCCCTTACATGAGCCCCTTAGAGCCAGACTGGAGATGAGGACATGTGCAGAAGCCCCTGTGAGTTGTCCTGAAGTTACCTTTAGCTCATTGTAGTACCTTAGTACTCTCCTCCTATGGGGGGATGAGAACCCAACATTTTTTTGAGCATTGGATTTATGTGTTAGCGTGTTGGCATGCTAGGCATGCACAGTTGAACCAAAGTGCCCAAGTAATAGAATATGCATTAGTTCCTTTAATGTATATGCAAGCTCTCTGCCCTCACCCCTAAGGAACTGAATAAAAGTTTCCTGTACTAAGTGCATGGGGAGACAGTGGCTTTAAGAGCTATCTCCCGGTTTCCTTACTTGCAAGAAGTAATAAAAATTTCTTTGCTTTCAACATTTCCTTGGATTGTGTTCAATTTAATGCACCACAAGCTGTAAACCTTTTGAGTTGAGTTACATTATTTCCTGGGGCTAAATTGTTAGATATTTGAACAGTATAAAGGAATGTTCATTTACACACCATAAAGTATGTACTGAATCAGTGAATCATCATATTGTTATGTGTAATCAGTATGCTGATTTATTTCCATACTAGTGAAGCATGAATGTACAATTCCACGCATCCTCTTCAACACTATTTGTTAGGCATTCAACCTTTGCCAATCTGATATGAATGAGTAAATTAGATAGACACCCTATACCATAAAAAGATGAGTTGTTTTTTTCTCTTTTAATTCTTTGATGATTAGTAACACTGAACATATTTTCAGTTACTTTTTGACCATTTGTATTTCTTTTCTGGTGTGTATATTGTCTGTTCCTGTCATTTGTCCCTCCTTTTATTGATGTGTTTGCGTACTTTTTATTGATTTATAAGAACTGGTTTTCTATATTCCTAGCAAATGTGTTATAATTTCCCCCAATTGATCACTTTTCTTTCTGTTTTATTTACGGTGCTATTTTTTACATAGATTTTTGAATTTTAAATTAGACACATTTATCAATTTTTGAAAGGGAGGAGACCACACTGAAAGTTAGTAACATACAAGGTTTTGTCTCTGCAAAGGGCTGCAGGGTACAGGGAAAAGAGCAAAATTTGCGCTCTTTTAATGACTTCCCACAGATCTCAGCAGTGTTTCCTCCTATCCCTTAAGATTATAAGGACATAAGGGATAGATGAGTTGATGACTTCAGAAAACCAAACCCTCGTCACTAAACATTTTTTTCTATTGAAATGATACTAAATCAATATAAACCTATTGAAATCTAATAGCCATAGCTTAGGAATGATTCTTCATGATATTACAAGCATGCTACTTGTTTTTCACCTGTGCCCAAGTCAGATTAATTGATGGTTGGGTGCTGCTTTCCTTGCCTGGAGGCAAAGGCATGACCCAATGGCATCTGAGGTCCATCATTCTAGGAATCAGTGAGCTGGTCGTCTGAGTAGTAAGTACTACTTGTATCCTGACTTCTTCCACAACTGAGCCCTGAGGACAAACATGAGTAACATAGAGGCAGATCTTGGTAGGATGATATGGTCAGCATTCATCACTGTGCATGTCTTATCTGATTGCCTTACATCACAGGAAAAAGCTATTTGCAAACTCTCAGGTGCTATGAAATGCTGGTGAAATGATTATAAATGCATGTCTTGGCTCAAGATACTGATGGAGGATGCAAACATATCAGATCAGAGACCATGCTCTCAAGAAGAATTCAATCCCATATGTTGCATAAAGTAAAATAAAGCACAAAGTAGCCAGTCCAAAGTAGCACTCATAGGTCAATTCAGCTTCAAAGAAAGATTCCTTCTCTTAAGGGAGCAAAGGAAAAAACCATGGAAACATAGATATTTGAATTCAAGGACAAGGAGTTTAGGTTTTATCCAGAATCAGTGAAGGTTCTTGAGAAAATTTCATTTACTGATAATGTGACTATATAGTTCACCATCCAAATTGGGACACATTTGAGATTGAAAAAAAAGTTTATGATAATATATGCTGTGACAGAAGGCATAATCAAAACTGTTCCTGGCAAATAAGGATGTATGGTAACTCTATTAAGTGGTCAGAGACAATTATTTCCTAGAAGATCTCTAACGAAGAAGAGACAGAGGGATAATCCAGGAAAGTGAGAGGCGAAAATGGCCAACAAAGTACGTACACACACAAACACACACACAGACTTTAACATATATGTATATATATAAAAACATGTATGTATGTTTAAACATACACATTTAGTCTCTGTATATTATTTGTGTACCAACACGCATAGGTATAAACATGTATTTATATCTGGCAACTACTGGCTTCACCCTTTCCTTATGACTTATTCATTACGTTTTGCTTCAAGTTCTGGAGAATTTCAGATTCTCCCCCAGCGTTTCTGCCACTGGCAAGAAAGAGAGGATTTTCCTTCACATGCTTCTTCTGGCTTTAATATGCCTTCTAATGAATTAATTAGCTTACTTTTGGAAAATCTCTTCGTGGCATTGTACACCAATTTGAACCAGATGTGAACTCCTGTCCTTGCCCTTCATCTATTGAAAGTTAAGTAGAAAAATTTTTGAGTGGAGAAAACAGTAATAAAAACCTTGAGCCAGGGAGTTGCCAGGAGCATAGAGAGCCCCTTAGAGGGCTCACTCACTGTGAGTTGCGCTGGCCCTGGCATCTGGATTTCCCACACTGAAACTTCACTCTTTCCAGCCCCTTCATTCTTTCCACCTGCCCCAGATTGGTTGCTATAATTATGCAGTGCAATGCAGAGTTCCCCTACTCCTCACCATCAACTCCTTACCTGGAACTATTTCATAGTCAAACAAATAAGGACATTTTGCATAACAAAGGAGAAAAAAGAAAGATGGTAAATAATTTGGGGGAAAAAAACACACTGAAGTCCAGATTTCCCCTCCTTTGAAGAAAGCTATGACTTACAAAAGATATATGTTTTTCTCTTATTTATGAATATGGAGATTTATTATTATTTGAGGGTCCACCATGTTACAGGTTTTCTATCAGGCTATTTCTTTACATTGTCTTACTGACTGAAGCAATATAGCAACATCACTGTGAGATATTTTTAAGATTTATTTGTTTATTTGAGAGTGGTGGAGGGGCAGAGAGAGAACCTTCAAACAGACCTCTTGCTGAGCTCAGAGACTGCAAAGGGTCTCAATCCCTGGACCCTGAGATCATGATCTGAGCCAAAGTCAAAAGGCCACTTAACCAACTGAGCCACCCATGCAGCCCTCCCTATGAGACGTTTTTGTCATTATTCATTCTTTATAATAGAGTAGCCAGATAAACAAAACTAAAAAAAGAGTCACTTTATGTACCTTTCACAAGGATGCACAGCCACCAGGTGGCAGAACCAGGATTGAATTCTAGGTCTGACTCTAGGCTTTTAAAAGCAATGAGATACACCAGGGATCAGCAAATTTTTCAATAAAGGGCTAACGACTAAATATTTCAGGCTTTGGGAGCCATAAAATCTTTGACTCAACAGCTACTCGACTCTGCCATTGTACTGTGAAAATAGCCACAGATAATAAAGAAATAAGCATGGATCGTTCCCACTAAAATGTTAGAAACAATGAAATTTGAATTTAATATAATTCCCATGTGTAGTGAAGTATTCTTTTTTTATTTTTCTTCCCAACATTTAAACATATAAAACCATTCTTGGTGGGACGCTTGGGTGTCTCAGTTGGTTAAACATCTGCCTTCAGCTTGGGTCATGATCCTAGTGTCCTGGGACTGAGTCCCACATCAGGCTCCTTGCTCAGTTGTAAGGCTTCTTCTCCTTCTGTCTGCCTCTCCCTCTGCTTGTGCTCTCTCTCTGACAAATAAATGAATAAAATCTTAAAAAAAAAAAAAAGACATTCTTAGTTTGCAGGCTATACAAAGCGGATGGAGAGGCAGATTTGGCTCCAGACAAGTTTGCTGACTTCTAAGAGCCTGGCAGGATGGCTTAGACTTGGGCATAAGTAACGAAGTGTGAAGGTATCTCTAGATTATAGTCCAAAATGGGCTGCCAAGAGCCACTGAGTTTATGTTGGCAGAAGAAAGGAGAGAAAGGGACTTGGGACCATGGGGCCCAAGGTCCAAAACAGGAGCTATGAGGCCTTCCAGGTGGCACTTGCCAAAGAGAATGAGGCAGAAGATCAAAGTAAATATTCTACAACCATGTCACTCTTTGTTTCTAAGGAGCCCTATTCCTAGCTGGGAACAACTTCCGTGAGACGCACAGAAGGAGGCGGGGAGGAGCTGCCAGTCATTATCTGTCACAGGACCATGTGGGTGGTAGGAGGTGGTCCCCTCATGCCCAGGCTCTGTCTCACAGGCTGAGGCAGAGCCTAAGGCCAGGATAAAAGGGCCTTGGTGCCAGAGCCCCTCCATGCACTTGTCTCCTGAGGTGCTCGTGACCTAGTGCTGCCTGTGCACCGGTAAGTGTCCCCTGGGACCAGAACCAGTGCTTTTCACAGAGGGAACTCAAATCGCAGCAGGGGGGCTTATGCAGTGGGGATTTGGGGGAAAAGGATCCATTATGTCAGAGGAGGAGGGTTTGAGGAGTGCAGGGGAAACAGAGGAGGAGTGCAGGCAGGAGTTTGGCACCACCTGGGGACATAGGGAGAAGAACCAGATGGCTATGCCTTTGTGCTCTGGAGAAAGCAAATGGATCTGCAGTGTGGCATGGCACTCAAGATGGGGACACTGAAGCACAGACACTGGGCTCTCCTCTGACGGGTTTCGGGAGGGAGCTTACCCTTGAAAATGCAGCCCTGTTCCTCCCTGCAAAGGAGAGTTGTGGACAGGGACCTGAGGCTCTTCCAAGCTTGTTAAACCTGCCTATTCATGAGTCTGGGAATGTGTTTGCTAACTTCCTGTGTTGATGAGGATAATGCAAGCCTGAGAATCACCCTGCCAACCTATCAGCATGAGGTGGTGGGGAGAGGAGACCTGGGTTCCAGACTGAGATCAGGGGTCTGGGGTCTAGTCCCAGGTTTTCAGGAGCTGAGAGGCTTATTAGTTTCTTCAATAACATGAGCTCACTAAAGCAGGCCATCTCCAGGATCCTTTGCAATGCTGACCTCACAGAATAAAAACGTCTTGGAAGTTATGACAAAAGGCACACTTAATGTGCGTTTCCTTTAAGGAAACAATAGCCCCTCACATGGCTTATTAGTTGAACAGCTTCAGATCTGAAGGGCATGGTTGGAACGAGTTCCATCTTCACTTACAAGTCTTCAGATCCTTGGATGTGTTTAGTAATGTGGTTTGGTCTTAGTTTATTACCTTGTATACTGGAGAAAAGTGCATATCTGACTTACAAGGATCCCCTGAGGATCCAAAGAGATGGTGCCAAGTATGGGAAAGCCATCATGTGTTGGATTATAGAGATGTTTCTATGGATGTTTCTATGATTATATGGGATACTAAGAGGGTGAGAGAGGCAGGAGGCTCTGTATCCTGGATCTGACTGTGTGACTTTCTCTTAGCTTCCGACTTCATCAGCGAGATGTCCTACCAGCAGAATCAGCAGCAGTGCCAGTCCCCTCCCAAGTGTCCCACCCCCAAGTGCCCTCCAAAGTGTCCCCCAAAGTGCCCCTCAGTCTCTTCTTGCTGCAGTGTCAGCTCTGGGGGCTGCTGCGGCTCCAGCTCCGGGGGTAGCAGCTGCTGCAGCTTTGGGGGTGGCAGCTGCTGCCTGAGCCACCACAGACGACACAGGTCCCACTGTCACAGACGCCAGAGCTCTGGCTGCTGCAGCCAGCCCTCAGGGGGCTCCAGCTGCTGTGGAGGGGGCAGCAGTCAGTCCTCTGGAGGCTGCTGCTGAAGTGGACTCTGATCACCTCTTCCTCTGACCTCCTTGAATGGTGGAGAGATCTGAGCAAAAGCTTGAGCTCTGGCCAGAGGATCCCTCTATCCTGGTTTCTACAAGCCAAAAACATTTCTCTAAACTCATTTCCTGACCTCCTTCCCCCTATCTGTGGCTGCCCTGGGAATCCTAAAGCATAGACCTCATGTCCCTCTGCAAACATATTTTTGCATTCTTTTGTTGGATTTGAAACAATAAAATGGAATCTGCTCACTAACTTGGCATAGACTGATTTCATTTCCTATTTTTGTCACCATTGTTTTCTTTTTCTCTGCTCTCTCCTGGTGGCTACAGAGACATCAGTAGATAGAGGACAGGGTCAACTATAGGAAAGACATTTTTCACACTTTTGTATGTTTGCAATTTTCCCTAATTCTTTACTTTTCCTTTTACTTTTTATCTTTTGGAATATTTTATTTACTCATTTGAGAGAGAGACAGAGAAAGAGAGAGAACATGAAAAGGGGGAGAGGCAGAGTGAGAGGGAAAAGCAGACTCCCCTTGAGCCAGGAGCGTGATGTGGAACTCAATCCCAGGACCCAGAAATCAAGAACTGAACCAATTATAACCTGAGCAGAAGGCGGACAGTTAACTGTTATGTCCCAATAACGGGTCCGTGATTAAAGGAGCGAGACTGATATAAAGCGAAGGTCAAGCAAAGCTTTATTTCGTGCCAAGCATCAAGAATCTTACGGAACATTCAGGGCTGCACCTCTTACAAGAGACGGTGACCCTTCTCTGTTTCACAGGCTAGCTTTTAAGGGCAAAGGCCATGCAGTCAGGCCTGGCCACGCACAGGTGGCCAATGAGATTGTAACACACACAGGAAACTCCACAGTGATGCTAGATGACCAATTGAGTTACAATTTACCCTAGTAGACATTTGAACCAGCCTATTATACCTTGATTGGGATTGGCGCCCAAAAGGCTCCCAAAGGGCAGGGCCCATACTCCTTGGTAACCAGGGAGACAGTATGCATCCCCCCACTGATTGGATGTCTCCACCTGGCCTGACCCACCTTTGTATCTGGACTTTGTTACCTGAAGCTGGTTTCAGGGACTTGTCTCCAAGTAAATCCCCTGGGGGAAGTGGAGCAGCAACAGTTTCTAAATAGGTCCTTACACTATCAGTGTTATCTTCTAGGATTTTTATGTTTTCTGGTCTCATATTTATGTCTTTAGTCCATTTTTTAAAGATTTATTTAGAGAGAGAGAGAGATAGCATGCAAATGTGCAGAGGAGAGGGTCAGAGGGAGAAGAAGAGAGAAACTTCAGCAGGCTTCACACTTCACTCAGAGCCTGATACAAGGCTGCATCTCATCACCCTGAGATCAGGACCAGAGCCCAAACCAGGTGTCAGATGCTTAATGGACTATGCCACCAAGATGCCCCTAATGGTGTTAGAAAGTGGTCCAATTTCATTCTTTTATACTTATCTGTTCAGTTTTCCCAGCACCATTTATTGAAGAGACTTTTTTCCCATTGTACATTCTTGCCACCTTTCTTGAAGATTAACTGACCATATAAGCTAGGATTTATTTCTAGACTGTCTATTCTGTTCCATGGATCTATGTGTCTCTTTTTGTGCCAGTCCCATACTGTTTTGATTACTACAACTTTGTAGTTTATCTTGAAATCTGCAATTGTGATACTTCCAGCTTTGTTTTTCTTTCTCAAGATTGCCTTGGCTATTCAGGGCTTTTGTGGTTCCCTAAAAATCTTAGGATTCTTTGTTCTAGTTTGGTGAAAAATGCTGTTGGTGTTTTGATAGGGATTGCACTGAATCTGTAGATTGCTTTGTGTAGTATGGATATTTTAACAATAAAACTAATGTAACATTGTGTGTCAACTATACTCAAATAAAAATGTTTTAAAATATTTTATTTATTCATTTGACAGAGAGACACAGCAAGAGAGGGAAGACAGGCAGGGGAGTGGAAGAGGGAGAAGCAGGCTCTCCACAGAGCAGGGAGCTTGATGTGGAGCTCGATCCCAGGACTCCAGAATCATGACCTGAGCCGAAGGCAAATTTAATGACTGAGCCACCCAGGCACTCTTCAAATAAAATTAAAAAAATCTTTTAATACTTAGTAACAAATGAGAAATTTGAATTATTGCCACCATTAAAAAAATATGGAAGGAAACAAAATTAATGTCATGAGAAACTCAAAGCTTTTTCTCTAAGATCAGGTATAATCCAAGGATGTCCCCTCTCAGCATTCCTTTTCAATATAGTACTAGATGTTCTAGCTAATACATTAAGATAAGTTAATTAAGGGTATACAGATTGGGAATGAAGAAATAAACTTTTTATTTGCAGATTATTTATTAATCTATGTAGAAAATCTGAAATAATCAACAAACAAACCTCCTGGCTCTAATAAGGAATCATAGCAAGATTGAAGGATAAAAGGTTAATCCACAAGAATCAATCATTTTCCTATATACCAGTGAACAAGTGGAATTTGAAATTAAAAATATAATACCACTTACATTAGCACCACCCTATAATAAAATACTTAGGTATAATTCTGACAAAATATTTATAAGATGAATATGAGGAAAGCTATAACACTCTGATGAACAAAATCAAATAAGAACTACAGAAATGGAATGATAATCCATGTTCACGGATAGGAAGAATCAATATTATCAAGATGTCAGTTTTTCGCTACTTGATCTATAGATCCAATGCAATCCCAGTCAAAATCCCACAAAATATTTTTTGGTATCAAGAAACTGATTTTAAAATTGATATGGTGAGGCAAAAGATCCAGGATAGTCAACACAGTGTCAAAGGAGAAAAATAAAGTTGTAGGACTGAACCACTTTAAGAATTAGTATAAAGCTACATAATCAAGACAATTTGACATTAAGAAAATAATAGATAATAGATCAATGGAACAGAATAGAGAAGCCAGAAATAGACACCCATAAATATAGTCAATTAAGCTCTGACAAAGAACAAAAGTGATACAATGAAACAAAGATAGACTTTTCAACAAGTAATGCTGGATAAAAGGGGTATCTACATTAAAAAAAATAATCTAGACACAATTACACTGTTGGTGGGAATGCAAGTTGGTGCAGCCACTTTGGAGAACAGTGTGGAGATTCCTCAAGAAATTAAAAACAGAGCTTCCTATGACCCTGCAATTGCACTACTGGGTATTTACCCCAAAGACACAGATGTAGTGAAAAGAAGGGCCATCTGTACCCCAATGTTTATAGCAGCAATGGCCACGGTCGTCAAACTGTGGAAAGAACCAAGATGCCCTTCAACGGACAAATGGATAAAGAAGATGTAGTCCATATACACTATGGAGTATTATGCCTCCATCAGAAAGGATGAATACCCAACTTTTGTAGCAACATGGACGGGACTGGAAGAGATGATGCTGAGTGAAATAAGTCAAGCAGAGAGAGTCAATTATCATATGGTTTCACTTATTTGTGGAGCATACAAATAGCATGGAGGACATGGGGAGTTAGGAGAAGGGAGTTGGGGGAAATTGGAAGGGGAGGTGAACCATGAGAGACTATGGACTCTGAAAAACAATCTGAGGGTTTTGAAGGGGCGGGGGGTGGGAGGTTGGGGGATCCAGGTGGTGGGTATTGGAGAGCGCACGTATTGCATGGAGCACTGGGTGTGGTGCAAAAATAACGAATACTGTTACGCTGAAAAATAAAAAAATAAAAAATAAATAAAAAAAAACCTCAAAATGGATCACAGACCTAAATGTAAAATGAAACATTATAAAACTCCTGGAAGATATCTATTGTCTCCCATCTGAGTACTAAGCATGCCCGACCCTGCTTAGCTTCCGAGATCAGATGAGATCGGGAGCGTTCAGGGTGGTATGGCCGTAGACCTGGAAGATAACTATTGAAGAAGACCTAGACTAACTTGGATTTGGTGATGACTTTTTAGATACAATACCAAATACACAATACAGGACAGAAATAAGTGATAAACTAGACTTGATTAAATTAAAATCTTTTGCTTTGCAAAAGACAAAGTTAAGAGATGATAAAACAAGTCACAGACTATCAGTATTTTTAAAAGACACATATGATGAAGGACTATTATTCAAAACATATAAATAACTCTTAAAACTCAACAAGAAGAAAACAAACAACTCAGCTAAAAAATGGACAAAAGTCCTTAACCACACCACCATGTCCTTAACCATACCACACCAATGAAGATATACAAATGACTAATAGGCATATGGAAAGACACTCCTCATCATATGTCATCACAGGAATGCAAATTAAAACAACAATGAGAAACCACTATATACCTATTAGAATGGCCAAAATCTGCAACACTGACAACACCAAATACAGATAAAGATATGGAGCCACAGGAACACTGGTTTATTGTTGGTAGGAATGCAAAATGGTATAGCTACACTGGAAGATGGTTTGGTGGTTCCTTACAAAAGTAAATGTACTCTTAACCATTTGATCAAGCAATCTTATGATATTTAACCAAAGGGATTGAAAACTTATGTAAACACAAAAACCTGCACACAGATATTTAGAGCAGCTTTACTCGTAACTACCAATTACAATGTCCATCAGGAGGTAAATGAATAAAAAACTGTGCCCAGACAAGGAAATGTTATTTGGCACTATAAAGAAATTAATTATCAGGCAATGAAAAGACATGGAGGAACTATAGATACATATTACTAAATAAAAGAAACCAATCTAAAAAAGTTATATGCTATATGACTCCAGCTATATGACATATGGAAAAGACAAAACTATGGAGACAGTGAAAGTTCAGTGTTTTTTTAGTCTTTTTAAGATCAGGATGTTGCTGAGGATAGGATGGGGAGGTATGAGTAGGCAGAACACCAAGGATTTTTAGCACAGTGATAGTACTCCATATAATACCATTTTTATGGATACCTGTCATTATACATTTGTCCAAACCTATAGAGTAGGTAA